TTTAATCTTCTCTAGGTTATTTGGAGGAAGGGATGACAATTTCTTTTCCACGACTACTAAGGAAACTAAATTCTTCTAAAATTCCAAAGCAGCTCTCAGACTCAGTGTTTCTGGCAGCTGGAACTTCAGAGGATACTGCAAGAAGACACGAGGTCTTGGAAGTAGAGTCCTGGGTGGCTGAAGATCATGGGGTCTCAGGCCCCACTGGACTCAAGGCACAGAGTATGAGAAAACAAGGGAAAGGGGACAAGAGACAGCAGAGAGGAGTATTGTTTGACTGGGAAATGGCAAGTGTGTGTGTGTGTGCGTGTGCGTGTGTGTGTGCGTGTGTGTGCATGTGTGTGTGTGTGCACGTGTGTGTATGTGTGTGTGTTTGTGTGTGTATGTATGTGTGTGTGTGTGCGTGTGCGTGTGTGCACATGTGTGTATGTGTGTGTATGTGTGTGGAACAGCACAGAAAACCAGAACAAGCTCAGCTTCACCCATGATTTCATTGTGTTCAGAACTACTCCTAAGAGATATCAACAAACTACTTCCATGGTCTCTTGCCCTGCAATGACTATTGTCGCTTGTGCTCATCCTTGGAGCACTATCTGTCGCATTTATGATGTTATAAATAGCCATATCTTGTTTATCAAGGACTGATAAATTCCTGATATCTTCAAAGCCCTTCTACCAATCATGCAGTTGCCTCGTTGGGAAGAAGCCCAGCTCAGTAGAGTATGATGTGAGCAAAGGCAATTGATTGTTCAGTGGACCTCTCCAAGTAGGTTAAATAGGAAACTAGACACCCCTCCAGGTATCTCTAGTCTGTTTGGGGGCAAGGCAGGATCCGCATTCCCCATCCTTCAGGCCCTTTCAGGCCCCTCTAAGGTTAACAAGCAAAGCCCTGGACACTTCGGGGTAGGATTTGCCTAATGGCAACTGTACTTCAACAGGCTAGCCCAGAATTGTGCATGGTGGTACGTGTTTCTAATCCAGCTACTCAGGAGGCTGAGGCAGAAGGATCATGAATTTGAGGCTAGCCTGGGTAAGTTAGAGTCTGTCTCAAATTTTAAAAAATGAGAGAGAGAGAAAGAGAGAGAGAAAAAGAGAAAAAAAAAGAGGAGGAGGAGGAAGAGGAGGAGGAGGAGGAAGCTGGGCATTGGTGGCTAAGGCCTATAATCCTAACTACTCAGGAAGCTGAGATCTGAGAATTGAGGTTTGAAGCCCGCCCAAGCAAAAAAAAACATCTGAGACTCTTATCTCCAGTGAACTAGCAAAAAAGAATTTAAAACCAGAAGTAGAGCCATGGCTCAAGTGGTAGAGCTCCAGCCTTCAGTGAAAAAGCCAAGTGAAAACATGAGGCTCCGAGTTCAAGCCTCAGTACTAGCATACATGCACATGTACACTAGCCTGTACACACATACTCACCCACAAAATATGGGGAATACCTGCGTGTCAAAGTGCTTACAGAGCATGTGTAACACCCGCGGGTTTGATCACTTGTAATGGAAAAGAAGAAAAAGGGGAAAGGGAAGGGCAGAATAAGCCCAGAACTAGGGACTTAACACTTTAGTCTCCAAGACTGCCAGGGTCTGCTCTAGGCTGTGGGGTGTGGGAACCGCCTATGATATGGGGGTGGTCTGAATCTCTCGGCATAGCTCCTCCACAGACCCCAACAAAGGGACAGAAATGCAGCTGGCACAGGCTCAGCAGAGTGACAGATTCCTTCTGCTATCGTCATTCTCCATCTCCCAGCTCCCTCGTTGGTGAGAGTCTGGTCCAACATTCAACCTGACAAAATAAATACATACATGAGCAGGGCACAGTCTGATCTGCAGCGCACACCGTCCTACGCATCACTGTGCACCACAGCCATGCATTTGTCACAAACCTCCTGGAGGAGGCTGGCGTTCTGATAAGAAACTAAAGACAAAATGCAAATTCAGATCCTTCCAAGAGACATCTTTGCCTGTGTTTTTCCTTGATTGTCCCTTGGTCTCTGCCAATTTAGTGTCAGAGCTGTGTCACATGATTCTTTTAAAAATCAGGCTCTGGCTGGTGCTGCTTTTCCTACCCACTGCCCATCTGCCGGCTCTCCAGGCAACCTTGGTGCTGGGTGGGGTGGGGAAATCACCAGAGAGTGTTCAAGTAAGAACTGAAATATTTGACTGGGCCTTGGTCCTAACAGAGGCAATTTTATTACCCTAAATGTCCTGGAAACCCTGTTGCCTCTGGCACAGGGAGACTCCAGGCCTGGCCATTCCCAGACGGCCTGTCTGCAGAGGGCTTTGGCAAGTGGTTGGGCCGTGAGTCATGGGGGCAGTCTCCAGTAAGGCTACACTTGAGGGGCACAGAGGAGGAAGTATGCATCTTTCATAGGAGGCTAGAAGGCTAGAAGTGGTCACTGGGCTCCCAAGGTTTATGGTGGAAACTGAGGGGGGTCTCATCAGAGTGGGGAGGGTGAGTTCGGTGGACAGGTGTCCAGGCTAATTAGCAGTGGCCCTGGACAAGGGCCCCTAATATCAAAACCAGACGTTGCCTTAGGGCAAAAAGACATATTGGGTTCTTTCTTCCTTTTCCTCCCATTTCTAGGAGCTAGAAGGTTCAGATATATAATTCTTTCCCTGTGTGAAAATCAACTTCTGCTCAATGAAGGACCCTCAGACACATTGTTCCAGTGGTTTATTAATTTCACAAAGCACACTTTTAGTTGAATTGGCCAAATAATCTGTTTTATACCAAGCAAACACGTCACCATGAAATATTTAAAATAAATGAATTCCATCCAACATGAATTTCCAACTGCCAAACAAAAGGTGTCAGTTATAAATTAAACAAGTTAAAATAAATAGTGGTAGGAAATTCTGTGAGGTCTGTTTGCTTCCTGATGATTCTGCACCCCAGCTTCTACATCATAGAAGATCCGGACAGTTCCCTAGGACAAGCTCCCCATTGAAAAAGCAGCACCTGATGCTCAAGTTTCCAAACCATGTCTGAACACATCAGTCTAAACCAATGGCCTAACAAGCATAGATTAGCCAGGGGAAAGCCCAGAGGCAAGCCATTTACCTACCACAACCTTCCCCACCTCACCCCAGGGTTCACCCAGAGATGAGAAACAAGCAACTCAAGCTACCAAAAGATCATTGAACCACCATCAAAAGTATCAGTTAAGTCTGAGACCTAGAAAGACTCAACAATTTTTAACACAGTCTTTGGCTAAATTTTACCACAGAATTTCTGTTTTTACCAGGTAGATTGGATTAATTTAACCTCTTAACTATTAAAAAAAAAAAGCCTTCTTGGGGTTAGAGTTCAGGTGGCCATGAGAAATATGCTTGGCCAATGCCACACCAATCCCCTCGCCAAACAGGCATTATTCATCTATCACTGCACTAGTCTACCTCAGAGTTCTCCACACAGCCCTCCAGGGGGCCAAATTCGTTCTTAACTTTAGTTCTTCTCTATTCTGAACTATTTTGTGTGAAGGAGTAAATATAACACAGGCATTGACAAGTGCCTTCACAGGAGTCATTTACCCCTTTGAATTGCTAGCTATGTATACAGTAAGTAAGGCTGTCTAACAGCGTGGTTAGAAAGAGTAGGATAATTTATATGACTTGCTCAGTCTCATGCCTAGTACATAGTAGGCATTTGATAAATGCTAGTGATTATTACCATTATTATGATTATATAATCATTTTAAGGCTACTGCTGTTGACAATGGGGTTGATGATGACATTTCTATTGTAAAAAGGAAAACATATATCTTAGGTCAAACCATGTGAAATGGACATTCAGTTGTTTTGGGTCCACAAAAAAAGGCAATTTCTTCTGGATCAATCTAATGAATAAGTTTGTTTGGTTTTATTTACTTTTAATATGTTTTTATTGTAAAAATACTGTACAGGGGGGTTACAGTTACATGAGTGGTACTATTTTTGAGACAAGTTTTCACTAGGATTCTTTCACAGGCTGGCTTGAACTTTTAATCCTCCCACCTCAACAATCCAAGTAGCTGGGATTACAGGTATGTGCCACCACACCACAATTTACAAATCTAATGTATGATAATGTATCTCATTTGAATCAATTAATTATTTCATCCTAATAAGATTTTTCTCTTCAAAAGCTGTCCCTGGAGACATATTCCCACCCTTTAGAAGTTCCTTACATCAGTCACTATGGAAAGCATACAGATGGAATCTGCTAAAGAGAAGTTGAAGGCCCAGTGACTAGGCCCAATACCTGCTATCTAAGCACATAACATCTAGCAGCCTCAACATCCCCATCTGTAGATTGGGAATAAGCATACTTTCTTCAACAGAGGCTTGTGATAAGAAGAGGAACAGAATGGGCAAGCACTTTTAGAATTTAAAATCATTCTGCAAAGCAAGTTAGATTATGCCACTTTGTGAAACATTACCGTTTACTTTTAAACTGGTTTACTATAGAAAAACTTCACATAAAACAACAGAGAATTCATGCAATCATGCCATGTGACTATCAAAATAGACCTTGATGCTTCTTGTCATGTAGATAGAACCTCTCAATAAGTAATACATACTGCTTGATCATAAAAAGAATCATACCTCATCAAGGCAAGTAAACACAAGATGGAAATAGAAAGAACCACTGTGTTTCACAAGTGAATCAGATGTCAATCTTTTACATGTATGCTTATAAGGAAGAGAGGAACTGCCTTCTCCCTTCCTTGGCAGTCTTTAAAATGGACTGGGAAGAATTGATTTTGGTTTGATTTTGCCTGGAGATAGGGATGTATACTAAATGACCTCTCAAAGTGATTTTCAAAACAATGGCTTCAGCAGTGCTAAGTTTTCTTTTGCCTTCTAAGGGCTTTCCTACTCCCTAAAGCAGGACTGCGGCTATGGAGGAAGATGATGTGTTTGGAGCAGCTACCAGCAGAGTGGGTGTGGCTCAGTCCCAGTCCTCAAGTTTTCTCCCCACATCCTGTGAACCTGGGTTAATGTGAGACACCCAGGCAGGGTCAACCTTTAGTCAGCCTCAAAGGCGCTGTTAGTGGCTCCCACGTATTCGGACTTCTTCTTGTGCCTGGTCCACATTTTCCTGAGGATGCCCGGGACACCACAGGAAGCACTGCTGCCTGTCAGCGGCAGAGAGGCCTCTGCCCCCTGGGGAAGGGTTGGATACTCTTCTGCCATCTTCTTGAAGTGTCTAGGTCTAAAGAGAAGCCAGAGGTGGGTGGGACAGTGGTCAGGTCATTGAGCCACACTTAATTTTTGCCTTTAAAAAGAGTGAACTTCTTCCCTTTCCTTCCCTCTCCCCTCCCTTGGTTTAGTCTCCAGCATGGGGGGGAAGAGAGGAAAGAAAGGACAGAGAGAGAAGAGAAAGAGAGAGAGAGAGAGAGAGAGAGAGAGAGAGAGAGAGAGAGGAGTGACTGAGCTTAGAGAGAAAGGAGTCATTCAGAGCTCTGCAATTTAAATCAGTGGAAGGTTGGCCTCTGTCCAGATGTGGGGTCTACAAGAACAGTTGTGTCAATAAGAGTCAATGACTCTTATTTAGAATGATTTGCGAACCAGAACATAATACAAGCTAAATGACTTTTTAAAAAGTTTCTCCAATTAAGTCTCAGTTCATTAAGTAATAACACATAACTTGCTTTTATAATTCTTTTGGTAACTTCTGATATTCCATCAAAATGCTCCATACTGTCCATCTTGGAGGCCTCCTGCTCAGCCTCCGGCAGCTTTAGTAATGCAGCTCTTGGGTTGATATTAGCTATGATGTGAATATGGTCAGTCTTCTTCAAGATTCCTGTTGAAACTTAGTCTCTGATATGACATATTAAGAGGTGAGACCAGGTCGGACCTTTAAGAGGTGATTAGAGCTTTGCCTTCATAAATGAATTTATGTGATTAATTTGTTATTGGTTTCTCTCAAGAGTAAGTCTGCTATAAAAGCCAGTCTGATTGTGCGTCTCCATGCTATAAAAGCCAGTCTGCTCTAAAAGCCAGTCTGACTGTGTGTCTCCATGCTATAAAAGCCAGTCTGCTATAAAAGCCAGTCTGACTGTGTGTCTCTGATATTCCTATCTCTGGACAGGTAATGTTCTGCATCTCCCTGGGACTCTTGTCTGTCATCTCTGGTGTTAGTCCCCTCCTGGGACCACAGCTGTTAGAAAAACAAACCTCTTTTTAAAACATAACTTTCCCTGAGCTGGGGGCCGGTGGCTCATGTCTGTAATCTTAATTACTCAGGTGATTGAGATCTGAGGAGCCAGTTTGAAGCCAGCTCAAGAAGGAGAGTTCTTGAGATTCATGTTTCCAATTAACCACTAAAAAACTGGAAGTAAGCTGGGTGCTGGTGGCTCACACCTGTAATCCTAGCTACTCAGGAGGCTGAGATCTGAGGATCGCAGTTTAAAGCCAGCCCGGGCAGGAAAGACCATGAGACTCCTATCTCCAATAAACCACCAGAAAACTGGAAGTGGTAGCTCAAGTGGTAGAGCACTAGCCTCGAGCTGAAGAGCTGAGAGACAGTGCCCAGGTCCAGAGTTCAAGCCCAACGACCGACAAAAAAAAAAAAAAAAGCTGGAAGTAAAGCTTTGGCTTAAATGGTAGAGTGCCAGCCCAAAAAGCTCAGGAACAGTGCCCAGGCCCTGAGTTCAAGCTCCAGGACTACCATGTGTGCACACCCATGTACACACCCATGCACACACCACACACACACACACACACACACACACACACACACACACAGAAGCCCTTACTCAGTCTATGCCATTGTGTGTTATGAAAACAGAAATGGATTAAGTTGATATTTTAGCTGAGGATATTTCACAAAGACACTAAACATTTCCCAAATACAGTTTTTCTAACTTCTGGATTGGAAGCTTTTAAAAAAAATGTTAACAATGGTTTGAAATAAGCTCTTCATGCATGATTTTATTCCATTCTCACAATAACCATTCAGGATGAGTTCTATCTTTCTTCTGTTTTTTCTTCTTGTTGTTCTGTCTGTGTCTGCCTGTCTCTGTGTCTTTTTTCTTTCTCTCTCTCTCTGCCAGAACTGGGGCTTGAACTCAGGAGCTGAGTGCTGCCCCTGAGCTTTTTTGTTCAGAGCTGGCTTATATTACTTGAGCCACAGCTACACTTCCAGTTTTTTAAGGGTTAATTTGAGATAAGAGTTTCCTGAGCTTCCCTTCCAGGGCTGGCTTCCAACTATGATCATTAGATCTCAGCCTCTTGAGTAGTAGTAGTGTGAGCCACTAGTGCCTTGGATTCTTTTAACTTTCTTCTTTCCTTCCTTCCTTCCTTCCTTTCTCCCTCCCTCCCTCCCTCCCTCCCTCCCTCTCTTTCTTTCTTTCTTTCTTTCTTTCTTTCTTTCTTTCTTTCTTTCTTTCTTTCTTTCTTTCTTTCTTTCTCTCTCCTTCCTTCCTTCCTTTTTTTGTGCTGGTGCTGAGTTTTGAACTCAGGGCCTTGAGCACTCATTCAGCTTTTTCCACACATGAAGGTACTCCACCACTTGAGCCAGACCTCCAGTTCCTTTCTATTAATTTTGAACTAGGTGAGGAAGTAGAGCCTGTGCCAGTGGCTGTGGCAGGATAGAAAGCAGGTCTGAGTCAAGAGCCTACATGCTTTGTCTGATACCTTCACGGTGGGGGTGCAGTCATGGGGTCATTAAAGTCCGTGTTGAATTGCAGACTTTCACTGCAGAGAAGGCTGTGAGGGGTGTTGGGGAAATACCCAGGCCTGCTATTCTAGCGACTGGTCTGGACAAGCATTAACAGGAACACTTGGGTTAGAGTTTAGTTTGAAACCTCTCTGTATTTTATACATTTCTTTTTTTGAGACTGGAATACGTGTTTATTTTCTATTAATAAAAGTGAATTATGACAAAGTGGATTCCGGCTTCCCCTCCCCCATTACTCCTCTGGGATTCAATTTTCCAACATTGCCAGGAGCTTTTATACATTTAGTGAAAGAATGTAAGGAAGTTAATTTTAAACAACTGGCATATAGGCTGTTCACTGATTTTCAAGATCACCCAAAGCTGACTAGCTACACATTTCTTTACTTGTGGGAAGAGGCCCCTAAACAACATAAGGCATTTCTGACACCATCCTGACACTGTGCGTAGGAGAGGCTCAGGATAGGGCTCATGACTCCCATCTAATTAACCAAAACTCCTCTGGAATGACACTTCTTCATGAAGTAGAAAGCGTGAAAAACACTTGGGCTTACTCCTAGGGAGATAGCTGATGACGGCCCAGGATGATGGCCCTCCTTTACAAGGTAATTTACAGATGTCAGGGTTTTGGGTGAGCCTCTTGAGAGTCTAAACTTTGGGCCACCCGTAGTTCTTCTTGGCACAGAAAGGATTCAGGGCTGGAAGACACAGTACTTACCCTCTCCCCAGAGCAGCTCCATTCTCTGAGCTTGGGGCTGCCGCCTCTACCCCTGCTGGAGCTTTCACTGAGATCCGGGCCACAGGTGGGATCTGTGTGGAGGGAATGGGATGGGACTGAGGACATGTCCACTCTGATGCTGCCCGGAGCCACTTGAGAGAGGAAGCACCCCTTACTTGGGCAACAGTCCTCATCCCGCTGTAGGCCTCAGACACCACAATGGGCCTTGTGAGATGGGCCCCATCTGACTCAGGGGTTTTGATGAGTCCTGAGCATCCCACTGGCCTTCAGACACTTGAGGGAGGGCCATTCAATTTGTATGAGAACCATCACCTCCCACCTCCATCACTGGTGTCCAATTGTCAAGTCCTGAGGATTCTGGCTTTCCACATTTGTTTTCCTGAATTTCTCAAGGGGCAGTCACTTGGGACTTCCTTGGTTGTGACCAGACCAGCCATATTTTCCACACTCCTCCTGGATTCTAGAATTGTCAGGAATTCCCCATAGCAGTGCAGACAAAAGTCAACTCTGTAGCCTGCTCTTCAAAGTTCTGCCATATTGAATTCTACTGTATCTATACAGCTTGGCCTTCTGGGACTTCTCTTATTCTCTCTGTGTCAGTAGTCCTAGCAAGGTGTGGTTTTCCTTTCCCAATGCGCATCCATGGCTCTGTACCCTTTCTTTCCATCTCTGGATGGAGAACTCATTTTTGCCTGTCCTTCAAAATTGCTTTTTTTTTTTTTTTTTAGAAAGTCTTCCCTGAGGCTGGTCTCTGAGGTTGATCTTTACGTCTACATGTCTCTGGAGTACTGAGTGTCTATGTGACACATTGTAGCATCTCATGCTTTGTGTGTGTGTGTGTGTGTGTGTGTGTGTGTGTGTGTCTACTTGCTTCATGTTTGTTTGGCTGGACAGTGAGTAGCAGAGTCTAGGACTTAACCTATTGGGATCTCTCCCTAGCCCTTCCACAGGAGGCTGCCAGCCCTAAAGAAACATGTACTAAATGGGAAGTTAGCTGATGACCTCATTAGGGCTAAGTCCAGAGGTTGCTTGGTTAGCTGACACCTGTTTTGTTTTGGTCTTCCATCCCGAAAGTTTCAAAGTTACCACATCCCTGAAATCTTCAGGAAATTCCAGGTCAAGGTCAGCATTATTCCCCGCCGCCTCTCCTGAGCGGCCAAAGGTTGTAGGCAGAGCTACTGTGCCACCTTGTGGCCTCTCCCAAGTGTTCCCTCTGCAGGGTGCCAGTGAGTGGTGAATGTGACACCCAGGGAGGGGCAATGGAAGGGCCTTCCATTCACTTCCTCCACTCCTTTTCCAGGTTCCCTCGGTCCCACTCACGTCACATTCAAGCAGATTGAATTGTCTGGGCTCTAGATTTCTGTCCTGCCTAAGAATAATGAGCTTTCAGCGCCCTGTGGGATATAACCCTACTGCTCTCCAAACTAGAGGATCATCATCTTCTTGTTTGTTTTTACCTCTCCATCTATATCGCCATGCTATACTAGCCCAGTTTCCTCTGGGCCTCTGCTGTAGCCTCTGCCTCTCTGACATGTGCATTATCTGAGCCCAGCCTAAGGGCTAGGGAATTTGACTTGCTTTCCTTTGTACCCATTACCCAGCCATCTTCAGATCCTCTGAGCTAGCTCCTCCCATCCCATCTCCTTTCTAGAATGCGATGACCTAAATGAGGTCCAATTTATATTAAAGGGAGGAGGAATTGGCCTCAAATAACTGCCTAGTTCTCTCATTGTACTATCAGTACATCTTGTTTCGTTTTGTTTTTGAATGGTCTCATTATGCTGCCCTGGAGTGTAACGAACCACCTGCCTCAGCTCCCTAGGTTACTGGGATTAGAACTGTGTGCCACCACACCTGACCCATCTGTACATCTTGACACCTCCAGCCACTGACAGCCCTGTTACAAGTGAGAGAGAATGCCAGAGTAGGGCCCATAAGTGGACAAAGGAGATGTGTCCCTCAATCCCCCTTCAATGAAGGATGAGCTGCCCAACCACAGGATCATGTGCCAATGGTGGGTAGCAGAAGGTTTTTAGTTTCTTCAACTATGCCTCAGCTGCAGAGGGTCACCTTGTCCAAGGTCATGCCCTCCCTGGGGCAGCCCACACTCCATGACTGAGTGAGGATGGAGCATTTAAAAGCTCATCCACTTTATCCTAGCTCAAATTGGAGAGGCAACACTTACCCAAAAGGTGTTGGAGCTAAATCATGGCTCAGCTACTTCCTCCACCCAAGCCTGAGTCCCCACTGCTATTGAGCCCTAATCTACATCTTCCACTTCAAACTCCAGATCACAGAGGCTGCTCCCTGATAACTAGACCTGTATGTAGCAGATGTTCCCAGAGGCACCCCTGTCCTGAGAGACTGGTTGTTATACAGGGAACGTTGTTCCCTCTTAGATTCCTGTGTTGAAGCCCTACTCTTTAATGGATGGTTGGAGAGGTGGTGGAGGGGTCGGTAATCTTTGGGAGGTAATTAGGTTTAGATGATGTCATGAGGGTAGATCACCTAGGATAGGATTAGTGCCTTATAAGAACAAAAGGATTTCAGAGCTTTGTCTCTCTGCCTGCCTGCCTGTCTGTCTCTCTGTCTGTTTGTCTCTGTCTCTGTCTCTTTCTCTCTTTTTCTCTCTATCGATGAATAAAGAACTTTTTTTTGTATGTAAGGGTCCTGGGACTTGGACTGAGGACCTAGGCACTGTCCCTGATCTTTATGCTCAAAGCTTGAGCCACAGCTCCACTTTCAGTTTTTTTGGTGATTAGTCTTTCCTGCCCAGGCTGGCTTCAAACCTCAATCCTCAGATCTCAGCCTCTTGAGTAGCTAGGATTACAGGTGTGAGCTAAGAACATTTACCAAGATGGTAGCCATCTATCTACCAGGCAGAGGGAAAGGGGAAGGAAAGAGAGACAGAGAGACAAAGAAACAGGTTCAGAGACAGAGAGAGACACATCGAGACAGAGACAGAGACAGAGAGAGAACTCTACCAATTACTGAATATCTTGGACTTCCCAGCTTCTAAAACTGTGAAAAAAAATCTTGTTCTAGACCCTTGGTCCTTGATCATTTATTAATGCATCCCAGCGTGACGAAGACACTCTATATTGTGGAATTTTGTTGTTGTTGTTGTTGAGAATCTACATCTCTTACTCTATCACCATACCCAGATTAGTTAGGCATTCCCACCTGGCAGGACCAACAATAGAAACCAGTTCTTTCCCTTAAGTATGAGATGCCAGTTGGGTCATAGCTTCTCACAAGAAAGAGAGACGCAGTTAGGAATATGCCACAAGTGCACAAAACAGGGTGAAAGGGCTTTCCACAGCAAAGGCCACCATTTTGCTTTTTTAAATAATCCCCAGGCAAGGGCAAAGGATGCTTAGTCTCTCTTTATGGTGCTGGGTACACAGACATGGTGGGATATTTAAAGCCCAGGTTTATTTTACTTACCAATGATTTCCCGTATGCTCGATTCCCACACAGGTTTGATGCTTTGAGTTCAGAACTCCCCCCTGAAAAGTTGAATGAAGCAGATATTACACAGTGGTACTCACAGTTCAGCCTCCTCTGGTTCTGCGTCAATTATCTTTTTAGCAAATCAATCACAGAAGCGAATTTCTCAAGGCATTGGTGCCAAACAACAAAGTCAGGCAGTAGGATCAGGCAATGGTAATTGCTGAGAGGGGCTACTGGCACCCCTATCAACCTCCCAGGGTGGTGGTGCTGCTGCTGAAACTAAGGCCTACATGGGAGAGTCAATAAAATCAATTTAAAGAGAACAGACTTGTGGAAGCAGTGAGCACCAATTCCCCATGCCTTCAGCTCCTCTTCCTTTCCTCCAGCTTTAGGTCACAACAAGTTAAAAAGGTAAGAGGAGTTACATTTTTGTTGCCAGGATCAATTACATAGCACAGTGCTCTTGATCACCCTCTAAATGAGAAACAGAATCTGCCATGGGAAGTTCAGCCCATAAATTGGAAGGCTTATGGGATCAGAATCCTGAGACTGGCTACATGAGAGGTATGGACAGAGACTCTCTCATTTCTAATCACCATCACCCCTGTGTGTTTTTATTCTAGTACTGGGGCTTTAACTCCTAGCTACTTGGAGATAAGAACCTCTTGGATTTGTCTGTCAGTCTCCTAGTAGCTAGGATTACAGTATGAGCCATCAGAGTCAGCTCTAAAACCTTTCCTGGGACACTTGATCAGGAATAGTCTGGTCTCAATTGCACTTCAGCATGTGGAAACATTTCAACATTAATAAAATGAAAAATTACACAACAACTGTTAAATCAAACTTTGTAGGAGGCCATGTATTTGGACTGGGCACCTGCTCTGGGGCCAAGAGATGAAGGAATAGAGATTGTAGTTCCAATAACTGAACTTTACTGGTTTCACAAAGTCCTTATAGCCACTTAACTGACTGGATCATAACTAACTAGTCAAGTGGGTGATGGACTAGACTATCAACAATTAAGTTGTTTTCTATGCTTCCCTTCTGCTTTACTGTGAGTGGTTTGATCCTGTTGTTGGTTGTAATTCAAAGAATCTGTTCTGGTTTGAGGCACTGTCTAATTCAAGTCATTTTTAACATTTTATTTTGCTTGCTGAAATTAACTCTGCAAAATTGAATTGTCCTAAGAGGTTTTTTTCGTAGTAAGACTACCAAAATCAAACTATCACCAATGATGTTCTTGAATAAGTAGTGGTAGCAGCTAATATATATTTCACTCAGTGTGGGTCAGGCATTGTGCAGAGATCTCAGTGGTAGAACAGTGGGTGCTGTAAATCTGAACCGTGGTCTCAGCTAGGAAAGGACCTCTCAGCTTGTTTGCATGAGTTGGTTCTGAGGTCTCTGAGGTCATCTCAGTGAAGTCTCCCAGGCAGCAGATTTCTGCCAGGCTTATGGTGACAGGATGTAGGTGTTAGGGATGGGGGGAACCTAAGGTTCTCTAGATTCCTTCGAGAAACTCCTCTCTCATGAGAAGCTGTATCATCCTATTTCTATGGCTCAGCAGGAAAACAAAAAGCAAGACCAGAGACATACAGCTTTCTGAGAGGAGGAAGTAAGACAGGAAGTAAAAGGAGGGGCTGGTGCCTAGACTTTTCTTTGGAGAGCACCAGGGTCTGTTTTTGGCTCAGAAATGCTCCCTCCTACCCATGCTGGAATCTATCAGATTGGAGGCACTGAGGAATTGAATCAATGCCCAGCTCAATCTATTTCTTTTTTTTTTTAAACCTGACTAGCATATTCTAACATGAGCTGATTGTCAGGCATTGGGCAGATTCTCTCTATTTTATAACTTTCTGCTCTTGTTTTTCAGACTAAAAGATGAACTTGGGTTGTCTAAATTGCCACAGACTATTTAGAAACGCATGAAAGTAACCAGACTTGATGATGGTACCTGTCTGTAATCTCAGCACTCAGGAGGCTGAAGCAAGAGGGTCATGAAGTTTGAAGACAGTCTGGCTACATATAAGATTCTTTAGAGAGTGGTATGCAAGTGACCTCAAAAAATGAAACCATTGGGCTGGGAGTGTGGCTTCTCTGGTAGAGTGCTTGCTTTAGCAAGCATGAGGCCCTGAGTTCAAACTCAAGTACTACCAATAACACATACATATACAAAACAAACCAATACAAAAACTAAACAGTTCGGTAGTCCTTCTCTCCTGGGGGAAGAGACACTGGTGGGGGACTCAGGAAGACCTGAGATTTTGTCTTGGGATCTGTAGCTGACAGGTAGAGTGACTTTGTATATAGGGCAGTTTCTGCAGCACAGTGTTCTCCTCTGTAAACTGATAGAGGTTCTTTATCTCCACCATGCATGAGAACCATCGAAGGGAGAGGTGCCTCCTAAAACAAAGACTGATGTGTTCTAACCCTGGAATTTCAATAAAATTGACATTTCCAACCAATTTCCAGCTGCTGCTCCTGAGATGGCATTTTGAGAACCATTGTACTGGTATGTCTAAGTGTTTGCTACTTAATCCATTATTCCTGAGAAGGATCAGCACCGACACCTGAGAATTTCTTAGCTACATAAAACCTTGGGGCTCACCTAGTCCTCCTAAATAAAAATCTGCATGAAAATGAAGACTCCCAGATCATTCCTTTGCATGCTGAAATTTGAGAAGCTTGACTATAAGTTTACTTCGTGATTTTGTAGCAAAGAGAAATCTTCTGCCTCTTTTTCCATACCCACATGCACCCACCCCCTCACCTATACATAGACACAGAAAAATCTATCTTCTTTTAATCTGCAAGGCAGATTGTGGTTTCCCAATGCTTTCACTCTGTATATGTCCATGTATATTCGATCACTTAACTAGAGAATATAGCTTGATTTATGTGATCTTATACATTGGCTCAAAAGAGCAGACAGGCAAATTAAGAACAACAAAAAAAGGTAGTATAAAAACAAGAAGCACCCTGCATCTTGTATATACATTTATCTAATTTGGGGAGGGAAAAAGGAATAACAAAATGCTGAAACAAGGACACAGGATGACTCATTGCAACAATGATACTCACAAGACACTATGCTGGAAATGAACTTTACAACTTGGGTCGTGGGGAGAAGAGTAGGGGAGGGCAAGGATAGTAGGAGAAAAACAAAGGAGGGGGTAACAATGTTCAACAAGAAATGAACCTATTGCCTTACTCTTGTAACTGTAACCCCTCTGTACAGTATCTTTACAATAAAATAAAATTCTTTTAAAAAAGCAAAGAGGTGGGGAAATGGGCAAGAAGAATAGGAAAAGACCAGAGAAGGAACACACTCAATGGAGTCCTCCATACTATACAAAATTGTTAATGCCCAAAAGCTTTGAGAAGGAGCCCTGGACTTTCTGTCATGCATTTTTGGAGTTAAAGCATTAATCAGTTTAGATTTGGACATAACAAAAAATCCTAAACTATCAATAAAAGCCACAATATTATTCTAGATTTCAATGGTGGTATCTTATTTCACTTCTTAGTATGGAAGTTATTTTTAAAAATAGCATCCAAGCCAGGCACTGGTGGCTCATGCCTATAATCCTAGCTACACAGGAGGCTGAAATCTGAGGATTGAGGCTTGAAGCCAGCCCAGGCAGGAAAGTCCCTGAGATTCTTATGTCCACTAAGCTTCAACAAAAAAAAAAAAAGAAGAAGAAGAGGGAAAAAAAAGAAAAGAAAAAAATAAAAGGTCAGAAGTAGAGCTGTGGCTTAAGTGGTAGAGTGGTAGAGTGCTAGCCTTGAGCACAAAAGCTCAGGAACAGTGTACAGGCCCAGAGTTCAAGTCCCAGGGTAAATAAATAAATAGTATCCAAAACAAAATTCCAATATTTCCATTTTTCAGAACAGATTTCAAAAATTAAATGTTTTTATTTATTATATCATCCAAGATTAAATGAGAAGCCTTCCTTCCTTTCTTCCTTCCTTCTTTCCTTCCTTCCTTCTTCCTCTCTCTTTGTCTCTCTGTCTGTCTCTCTGTCTGTCTCTCTTTGTCTCTGTCTGTCTGTCTGTCTCTCTCTCTCTCAAATATATAACATGAGCTTCCTTCCCCTTTATGGGTGGTGGTTTTCTCCTTCCCAGAGCACAGTGATTGACATCTTCTGAATGCTGCACCTGCTAGCTGTGGAGCCAGATGGCTCGCGCCTGCCACTTCTCTGGGTGGAAGGTGCTGGGTGTTGTAGTTGATGCCCTGGAGCAGGTGCTTTTGTAGTGAATACTCCGTTTATTTGGGGAAAACGCAGGTGCTCACTCACCTGTGTGACTGAGACCACCGGTTGGACCCTGGGCAGATCTCGGCCCCCAAAGAGGTTTAGGGGGCTCTGAGGTGAAGGACTCACTTACCAGGCCTGGTAGGCGTTTTGGTAGGATGGGCGCCCGGTGGCCTGGCTGTCTGGAGCCGGCCGAACCTGTGGCTGTCTCCGGCATCGCCCCTGCGGTCACCGCGGTAAGGCAGCAGCTCCAGGGCCCGAGGCGCGTACAGGTCGGACTCGATCACCACCTGTCCAGCGGAGGGCGGACAGCGAGGTTAAACCTCCGCTCAGCACGCAAGCCCTACAGCCCCAGGACCGGAGGTTTGTGTTGGACCTTGTGTTGGTAAAGGAATTTGTGTAGACTTACTTAGTCCAGGGAAAGCAAGCAAGGGGACAGAAGTGGTCTTTTCAGCTGACTTCAAACTTCCAAATAACGGCGCGATGGTGCGACAAAATGAAGGTCCTAGCGTCCCTCCATAGCAATCCATCACAGGACCCAAACCCATGTGCCCAAATAGGGTACACCAGCTGCTCCCTGGCCAGACATGTGTTGGTAACAGAACAGGCTATTAGAAGTGGGGATGGTTCTGGAAATCGGGGTTTTGTGGTATTTGTAGAGAGGGGGACAGCACCTTTGTAACTGCAGAGGACTAGGTTTTGGGTGCTTCGGTGAAGGGAAGACATCAGGAAGGAAGTGTTGGGCCCAGATTAAAAAAACAAACAATCGGAAATCCCCACCAGCCAAATGAGGCAGGGACTGCTCCCCAGCACTCCCATTCCCTTGCACCTGGGCCTGTCAGGGAACGTACAGCTGGTACAGCCGTGTTTCGCCGAATGCGGCTGCTACATGGAAATCCCAGTAAACCAGGACTGATTGCTCACTGAGATTTCTCTTTTAAAAAATCAACTGCAGCAAAACTATTTCAGGAAGATCCACAAAGGGAAGGCCCCCCCCTCTTGGGATAGGGTCCACCACCATGAACCTTAAAAATTGTAATAAAAATACAATTAATCCTTTGCATTTACGGGCTCTGTAGCCATAGGTACAACCTATTGCAGATAGGAAGTGTTTGAGAAAATCCACATCCAGACTTGGTTTATTTCCCTTATTCCCATTCTCTGAACAATGCAGCATAACAAAAGTACTCGGCATTTCATTATTTTAGGCAATGTAAATCATCTAGAGATTATTTAAGGTATATGAATGGGCTGGGGTGTAGCTTAGTGGCAAAGTGCTTGCCTAGCAGGTGCAATGCTCAGGGTTTGATGCTTAGTACCATTAAAAAATAAATAAACAAGATGTATGAAGCTGGGCACCCATGGCTCACACCTGTAATCTTAGCTAGTCAGAAGACTGAGATCTGAAGAGTGTGGTTTGAAGACAGCTTAGGCAGGAAAGATTCTCATTTCCAATTGTAAGATTCTTATCTACAATTCATCACCAAAAAGCCTGGAGTGGAGCTGTGGCTCAAGTGGTAGAATACTAGCCTTGAGCAAAAAAAGCTCAGGAACAGCACACATGCCCAGTTCAAGCTACACACACACACACACACACACACACACACACACACGTAAATAAGTGGATGTATAAATTTTACACAAATAGTACACTATTGTATGTCAGAGATCTGAACGTGTCCTAGAATCAGTCCCCCGAGGGTACTGTGGTATGACTATACTTAGGGAAATAATTTAAATGTAAAAACTGGAGACAAAGAAGAGTTGCCATTTTCTCTTAATATGGAGAGTCATGAAGGGAAATCTTAGCAGTCTGGACTCTAATCCTGCATATTTTTCCATATCCAGGACAGTAGGGTCATTCATTCTGAGTGCCCTCACCCTCAGGAGCTCCCAACACTGCAGCTTCTCTGAGTGTGCACTGCCCAGGGCTGGCTCCCTCCTCCCACAGCTGTTCTGCAAGGACAAGGCTCGCTCTCTGCCAGATCCTGGGCCCACTATGCCTCTGTGAGGGAGGCGACGGCCCCAGCTCCGCAGCCCAGACTTCGGCAGATCCTCTGCACTTGCCCACGTAACACAATTGTGTTGCTTTTGGGAGGTGCTGAGGCAAAACTGAATTTAAAGAATTATGATAGGGTGCAATTTCAACTGAGGGGAGAAAAACCTGAATCTTTAATAAGCATTGTTGGCGATAAACAAGCCATCAGGGAAATGAATCTCTGCTCATTTCTGGAAATGAATACTTGTCAGATCAAAGCTTCAAGTTAAACAAACTACAAGCACAAATATAACACATTATCTGTGTTACATGGAATGGGGATTATCTCTATGTTCATAAAATTCTTACAAACCTATAAAGTTTAAAAGAAACAGAAAATTGGGCACTTAAAAATATAAATAGAGGAGCTGGGAAGGTGGCTCAGTGGTAGAGTGCTTGCCTTGCATGCATGAGGCCCTGGGTTCGATTCCTCAGCACCACATAAGCAGAAAAAGCTGGAAGTGGTACTGTGGCTCAAGTGGTAGAGTGGTAACCTTCAGCTGAAGAGCTGAGGGACAGCGCCCAGGCCCAGCGTTCAGGTCCATGACAACCACCACCACCATATAAATCTATCTATCTATCTATCTATCTATCTATCTATCTATCTATCTATCT